TCAGGCGCTTGGTAGTGACAGTTTTGTCACATATACTATCTTATTTAAAAAAGATGATGACTCAACCAGAGATTGCAGGATGACTGAGCAACTTCCGCCTTTCTGGCAATGGGCCCGACGGGGGAGATGAAATACACACACTATAATACAGAGATTGCAGGACGACTGAGCAGCTTCTGCCTTTCTGGCAATGGCCCAGACGGGGGAGATGATATACACACGCTATAATACTACCGAATAGACTCCCTCTCCCTCTATCTGTGGCAATACATTCTCTCTCCCTCTAACTCTAAATAAACTTTTATTATTTTTTTAATTTAAAAAATACATTTTTCCTTTTTAAAATCTTAATTTCAACATATTTAATTCGTGGCATTAAAATAAAAAATGAAAAAAAAATACTTTATAGAATTAAAGAACTAGAACTAACAGAGTTAGGTTGGAATCCCTATTTAGAAAGTTTTTCATTCTTAATACCCAACAGTTGATAGGGCCTCTACTTGCAAAATTAAGCAGTAAAATTAATAAAAATGTATTTAATATTTAGAAAGACTAAAAAATAAATCTTACAAAAAAGAGAAAAACTAATATACCATCTGTCATTCTTAATATGAGTCTATAGGAGTTAAATTTGGTCATAAATATAATATTCTAATCAATTTTGTTCTCTTTATTTATCCAAACTAACCCCTATTGTGTTGTGTTAGGGAGTTTGCATCAAATGTTATTTTCAATCCAAATGATTTAAAAGAATATTTTTAAAAGAAATCAACACATACTTTTTTGACAAACAATTAATTTAACTATTTTACTTAATTTATTTAAATTAGTTGAGTAAAATCTTATATTAAATATCCATAGTAGTATAATATTACCCCCAATTTAAGGTTCATTTTTACATTGCTATTTGATGTGATGCAATCATGCAAATGTTGTTGTCTTAAAACTATCTTCCTAATAGAGATGGAAACAAGCTAGACGGCTTGTAATAGGTTACAGGCCAGACTTAAACTAATAGGCTACAAAATGGGCCTGGTCTGTTAAAAGCAAGGCCTGGCCTGTTTCCACTTTTTCTTCTTAGTGTGCCAGTAGTCCAACATACTAACATTGTGTTTGGTACGGGCTTTTCAAAGAGAAGGGGAGGGAAGTGACTCCCTTTCCTCGTTTGGCTAGAACAATTTTTAAGGAAGGGAGGGGTTCCCATTCTCTCCTTTTTTCTCTGGCTTCCCTTTAAAAAGTAGGGTTTTTGAAAGTGAAAATGAGAGAAAAATATTTAATTTCATAACTAGTCTTAGTAAAATAATATAATTTCTCTGTTGACCTCTCTTTGGCCCTTTCATTCTATATTTCTCTCTCAATCTTATAATTTTAGTAATTCTAAGCAACTCAACTTCATTTTCTTTTTATATTCAACTAGAAAAATCAAACTACTTAAAATTTTGTTAAAAAAATGAAATGATAAAAATCATTGGGACAAAAAAAAAGAAACGATGAAGAATTATAATATTTTAAAAAAAGTCAATCTACAGTAATATTAACTTAAGCTAGATAATAAGCATCTTTTAATCTTTTAATTAGTTAAAAATTAAAAAAATAAGGAAATAAAAGATAAAAAATTGTAAAAATGTAATTTTTCTTTCGAATCCAACAGAATCAACGAATAACATTGTGGAAAGAAATTTTATTTCAATTTTTTTGTTTGTTTTTCTCAAGGCAAAAGCACAACCTAGTTTTTTTTTTTTTTCAAATTGATAAATTGCCTCATACATATTGATAAAATAAAAAAAATAAAAAACTTTATTTAAATTTTATAAAAGTAAAATAGCTCATTTTTGAATAACTCCCGTCCCTACCCCTCTTATGTCAAATAAAGTATCATTAAAATGCCTCCTCTTTTTTCTCTTCCAATCAATCTAAATAAAATATTATTAAAATTTCTCCCCTCCCCTCCTCTTCCTTCCCCTCCCCTCTATATCTCTCCTCCCTTCCCATGCCCTCCTTTTTACTCTATTGAAGTCCCTCTCCTCCTCTTTTTTCTGCCGAGCTAAACAAAGTGTAAAAAGGCGTTTGGATTATTGAAGAAATGCTTTTAAAAAGACTTTTTTACAAATTGAAACAAATTTTTTTACATATTTATTCTGTATATTTTAAAAGCACTTTTAAAATTATAGTTTTATTTCTATCCAAACATTGACTAAATTAGAATTCGAAAACATGTTCTCTTGCTTAATGTCCAAATAATAATAATAATAATAATAATAATAATAATAATAATAATGGAACATGATGTGAGATGATATGGATGTGATCCTCTTTAATGAAAAGAATTAGACCCTTTCTTATTTATTATTGAAAATATTTTTCCCTTTTTATTATTTGTATACAAGATGTAATAAATAAGCCTAATATCTATAATTTATAGATAACATAACTCTAGTGACGCAAATGAAATATGGGGACTTCAAAAGATATGACTCAAGAAAGAAAAATTTCAAAAGGAGAAGGAAGACGGAGAGATGGCGAGTTGGATAAATAGGAGAAAATATGAAGGGAAAGGAAAGGAGCAATACAATCTTATCTCTTAGTAAATCTCTGCTAATACCAATCACCTTAAACAGAAGTCAAAAAAATATTAAGTAATTGTTAGAGGAGGAAAAATAGAAATACAAGAATATAAAACAAAAGGAAAAAGCGATCAAGTTGAAACAATGCTCTAAAAATGTCCAAGCATAAACTCTATTAAGAGTTTATCAATTTTCCTTTGTCAAAGTTTCCATTATATTATAAGAGAAACACAATGCCACAAGTAAAACCTGCAAAGAATTTAAACTTCTATTTCAATCTGAAAAAATAAGTATTTCAGTCTATAATTTTTCACAGTATAACTAATCAAGATTTAAATTTTCTCCGGTAGAAGTGTCTAAATATAAAAAATAAATAAATGTATAATATCTTTTTTATAAGGAGAATGAAGAATCTAAAATCATAATTTGAAAGTTAGATCAAGATTTCTTTTTCGGCCATGAAAAGTTAACTTCAAAGCTAAGAAAATTTTAATTAAGGATCCTGTTTACATACTTAGACCTAGATCCCTTTGGTGACCATCTAATAAGAGACAAGTTAACTTGAGCACACGGGTTCTCTGCTGCCCAGTGGGTCTGCAAATTTACAGAACTGACATCCTCTCAGAGCTGATCGCGACTGGTCATATTGCTTAGGGGCCGTTATCTTGCTTTATTTATTTCTCTGGTATCAAAAAAAAAATTGTATCAACACGAGCAAAAGTACTTAAAATAAATTGTACTGAGGCTTGTTTGCATTTGAGCACTTGTATATTTATTCTGTGTATCGGAAGTTATAATTAAAAACCTATTTTTAAATACTACTGTCTCAATTTCAAACCAGAAGCCTTGAGTCCATTTGAATTAGGAGGTGTTTGAGAAGCTAGCAAAGTGTTTTTTCTGTAAAACGAGACAAACTCTTTCATATATTTACTTCGTATATTATAAAAATGCTTTTAAAATTATGATTTGGTTTCTATCCAAATACCTCCTCAATCGCTTTTGACATGTTTTTATAAAAATTTTAAATTTTATTAACTCTTATTTAACATTTAAGAATTTTTTAATTTCATTCCTATTTTATATACACGATGATGGCTCATGAGAAAAGAGTCAGTACAATTCTAGTCTTGGACAAAAGCTTTCATTCGCAGCAACTGTAGAATGCTAAACAATAAACTAAAATGAGTCCAGTGATCATGCAGCGAGAAGAGCCGATTCCATGAAAATAACGGATTTGATTTTCCGTTTTACTTTATGAACCTGAGCCATGAACTCAAAAAAGCCAAACAAGCCAATTTTATCATATGATGCATTCTGGCATCAAGGGTCATATCTCTCTGGCTTTCAAAATCATGTTGGACCACACATAGCTTCATGTCAGTAATTGGTTGAGGACCCAGGAGGCTCAAGCTTTCGCTCAGCTCCCATGAGTCAACTCTCCACTTGGAGTGGGCCGGCCAGCTCGGCCATGGTAGAGGCATGTCATAGACTTTATAAAGATTAGATTTTGTCAGATGGAGGCGATGTAGCAAAACATCGACCCCTCCTTGGGAGTTGATATTTAGGCTGGTGTTAGAATCTCTGTTGGACGCTATATTTATAGAAGATGAAGATGAAGATGACGACGAGGGGGGAAATGAAGCATGCAAAATCCAAGGCTGAGGGAGCTTTCGAATCGAAGTAAAAGATTCTAACTTTGTATTGAGATAAATGCAAGATCCATATTTTCTTGCAAGATCGGAGAAAGATAGCAAGGCAATTTCAAGATTTCTGCTTTATAATTACAAGATTTCACTGAGGGATAGAAAGCCATCAAATCAAGCGTGCATTTGATTCTTAATATAAAAATTAATTTAACTTCTAATTTGATTTTAAATATAAAATCCTAATCCACTTTGTCGTTTATATTTATTCATTTTGTTTTCAAATAATCTTATGGTACTTGCATATTTTAAAAGTTACTATCAATGGGTAATTCAAACATACATGATTAATAATAATATTTTAGAAAAGACAATATTTATTTATTACAAATAACTAACTTAATTTTCTTAATCTTCTCAAATTAGTCAACTTGGTCTTATGTTACGGACCGAAAATAGTATTATCATTTATATATCCATACATGATAAACAAATATTTAATAAGTCACTATTCATGAGCCATAAATAATACTACATCATATTTTTAATATAAGAATTAGATAACTAATTTATAAATATTAAAAAAATTAGTTAAATTAGTTATTTGTAACAAATTTGTATTTGTTTTTCTAAACTACCCACTTTTAATTATGTCGGTTAGAAGACTATAGTATAGCTCATTTTTGAGATCCCATACAATACATGAGACCCACATTAATCTTCATGCAAAACTGAATGGTTTAGTAACATGAAGACGAGCAAATAGCCAAGTACAAGCTAGATGGACAAGATCTTCCCTCAGAAGGGGCGTCATTGACGTTCATGGACAAGCCTCGACATTATAATGTAACCTGTGTCGCCGTTATTATTAAGTGAAAATGACCTTACAATCCAGTTTCTTTCAACTTACTCAACCAAGTAATGCAAAACCAGTGAGCATGTTTTCCTTCATTTCGTTATACTTACAAGAATTCAATATGAATAGTATATCTAGTTCCCAAAATATTCCTTATCCTATAGAAATGTAAGGGCATCAGTTGACTGTACAAGATCGGCACGAGAGCTACCATCATTTTTCAAGATTTGGATTGCTTCTTTCTCCCTGCAAGAATTGGTTGTATCTGCAAGTGCCTTTTGAATGCTTCATTGAAAAGGATACGATTATGGAAGGCTTTAATAATAGGTAGCCATGCCAAAATGGCAATAGGAGTGAAGAGAACAACACCCATTCCATAATCATAAGCTCTAGCAAGTGCACGAGTGAAGTCCCACATGCCTGTGTGTTCAATCTTGGGCCTCACAGCTTGGGCAATCTGAACCAACAAAAGTATCAGTTAATTTGTGTTAAATGATATCATTGATTTGAGTTTTGAGGGATAAAACTTGAACAAGTAACAATCTTCAAAGACTGGGTTGTGGAGTGTAGTCACTTTACGTCTCAAGTGTTTTATTTTTAGTCAGGATACTCAGAAATTACCAGAATCAAGCCCCATGCAGTTGGCAGGAAAGCCAAGCAGCAAACGAATAAGTCTGTCAGAGACAGTTCACATATAATGGAAAGTGTTATAATAACGGAAACAACACCGATGAACAGGAATGCTTTGAAAAATCTGAACCCAAGCTGATAATTAGCACTGAATAGTTGCCTTCCCATGTTCACAGCCTGCATAGATGGTAACATGTGATTAAGAGGTGATGAAACAGCACTTACAATAAGATAAACGAATTATTTAACAAAGTCTTGTTCCTATTCCAAAAAGCAGAATGTCCCTAGCTAAAAAGCACTCACTTTTATTTTACAAAGTTAAAGGTAGATTATCTAACAGAGTTCCATTCCAAAAATAGAAGATGCAACTGTTAGAATCGGCCTAGATTGTGATCCATCAGTCATAGTGCTATATTGTACCGTAAGCTACATAATGTTTGGTTTCATTGAATGAGTCTAGTGTTTGAATTTCAATCCTTTCCCTTTTGCACCAGAAGAATTACTATAGTGAACTGTAACTTGACTGATCAAAGGCAATGCCCTTGTAGATCTTTGTTAACAATGATATCATTCAAAGAACAGGCTGAACCTTCTATGGCTTCAAGTTTCAACTATTAAAAAAGAGGTTAATAGCAATAATGGACCCAAGATGAAACTGAGTAACAAGAAATTGAAGTTGGAAATGAATGTACATCGAAAACATATGCATAAAAGATATAGAATCAAAGATTGAATGATTGCCACGAACAAAGATTTAGTTCACTGGCATAGGTCAAAACAAAAATAAGTTAATAATTAAGCCAGCCATAAAATATGTTTCCCCCAGTAATTGGACCTGATGCATTAAATATAACTTGCCGATCATGACAAGCCTTTGTCAACAACGCATAACCTATCAAAAATAATTGAATATAGGTGAATAATAATAAAATGACTCCAGAAGAATCATACACAGAGATTACCTTCACTAACAGGAAAACTGCAAGAATTACAACCCATGAAAGGACGTAAACCAGAAAGTCCTTGCTATGTTGAGAGATGTCTAGGTGATAGACCAGGCCATACTGATAGATGAAAAATCGAAGAGAAAGTAGTATTTCCATCAGCCGGGAACGGATACCGGACCGTCGAAGATGGGCTTGCTCATCATCCCACCAAGAATGCCAACTTTTATCCTGGTGTATTCCTATACCACCCTGTTGCCTGATCCATTTATTCCATTCTTTCCAGTCATCGACTGTCTTGGTCCAGCTGAATCCAGCAGGGTTAAAGAGAAATGGTGCACACAACCAAGTCAGTGACATGAACCAAATGGCATAAGTTATCAGCACATAAGCCATGCTGCTTTGGTAAGACCTCCTGAACATGTTATAAACAATCAACAGAAGCAATAACTCAAACGCCTTGACAAAGTGGCTTCTTGAATATAATCTATAATTTTCAGTGAAGCTAGAATGGAACACGACAACTTTCCGCCCTGTAGGCCTGTACTTTGCACCCCCATGCAAGATTGCTCGGCCATAATGATGGGTTTTTGTTCCAAGGGAAAAAGTGAAGAAAACAGCAGCCAACTGCAACTGCATGAGGACAAAATCTTTCGCGGCTGTGAAGAAGCCTTTCTCAAGGCCTATTTCCATCACCATGGGTAATCCTGTTAGAAGGCCAAGCTGTATAAATGACTGAGAGGCGAGAGCTGTTTCCAAGGATTGTACATTCTTGATTCGAGCTTCAATGATAAGTGCTCTTTCCAACCCACTAAGCACCAGGTATAGCTGCCCGTAGAGAAATATGTATATTCCTATCACTGAAATCTGTGGACCAATCCAACAGGAGTGTGAATTCACCTTTTTATTTTTTTTTCAATGGAAAAAAAATAGAGGTTGATGAAATCCTCTTAAATCCAAATAACTACCAACTTGCTACAAATCGCTAGATGATTGTTAGATGACATTACCAGATTGCTGAAGTAAAACCCAATTGTGGTGAAATAATATGATAGCATGCGAAAGAAATCGAATTGACGCCCAAGGCGGAATACATCACGGCTTATGGTTTGCTCACTGTTTCCATTTGCCACCTTGGCTTCAAATTTTGAAATCTGGTTTAGGCCTACATCGCGACCTTTGCCAACTTGCAAATATTCATGATAGGAAATACATCCCCTTCGCAAAGTAGAATTAAAACCTGCAAGGAATAAGGAATGTGTAGTTTTCTCTTACAAGGACAAAAACGTGTACTTGCTAAGCACACTTATTTCATTAGAAATTTAGAATATATGTTTTCAATGTAACCTACCGGCAAAAACATCCTCACTCAAGTTAATTGTCTTTGATGCTTTGCTAACTCCACCCCTGGTGATATGGAAAATCCTATCAAATACATCTGGATGGCCATAGTGGAACCTCACCCTGTACAAGATATTAGTACACAAGGAATGATAAATAAGCATTTGATATATGTAATTAACAAATACAAAATATAGAGTTTCTAGAACTAACAAGAATCATCAATAATCAAGTAAACTAAAGTGTGAAATCAGTTTGTTTGGGTTTTCAAACTTTCTGTGGACATATTTACCAGAGATTAATATTCTGACCTGTATTCACCTTTTTACCAAATAAATAACAATGCAATATTATTACCTGAGAGGAGTGGACAGAATTCTTTGACCAATAGTAACAAAGCTAGTCTCTTGATATGACATGAACCACGCCAAAGAAGACACACTGCACAAAAATAAAAACCATGGTAATCTCGTAAACTACCAAATAGCATAATGCCAAAATCAATTATAAACTCAGAACCATGTATATCTCGTAAGTTACTATTACTTCCTTTTCAATTGTACTTCCATACAAATTTATCCAAACACCCTGTTTTGATTAAATCAATTCTGTCCAAAATTATGCTTATAAATCAATTTCATAAACTGCATTTTACCAAGTGCTAATCCAAATGCACTCTGCATAAGAAACATGGTTAAAGGTCTCATAATTGAGTCATTAAATTACTAATAATATTGTTAATTGTTAATCGCATAGACCTTACTTAGTTTCTCTATAAAGTGGGATAAGCTGATTATTTTTAGTTTCTAGGGCGTAGAGGGGTGACCTTCCAGTAAATATGTGTTCTCTTAAACCAAGTATTGTAGGAGGGCGCCGCCCTTGGCACCGAAGGAACTCTTGGAGGAGATTTCTCATCTTCAGTGCTTCTTCTAAGTAATTATCCTGCAAAGAAAAATACTTGTAAGAATATGGAGGAAATGATTAACCTGTACGTTGATAAAACAAGAAGCCTACTTGGTTCATATCAATTGTTTGAAGGGCTTCACCACGAGTGAATATTATGGCATGATTCTGGTTTTCCGGCTTCCCTTCTCCAATATCTGGTGGACCAGGAAGCTTTATGCGATATATCACCTGTGAAACACATGCTATAGCTCATCAACATTAATGATGTAATTAAGGACCAATTTATAATATCTGTGAAAAGAAATGTAAAAATCGATTAACACTTAAAGCTAAAATCAGGCTTTTGATTTGACAATACATAATTAAAGTTCATAATTATGACTTCTGAAACATTAGGAAAATCATCAATACTTTTCCCCTAGCAACTCAGACAATATGGTAATTGGTTCCCGGTAGGGTTGGCTCAACAATCCACTCTTTAGGTATACCATTTATCAAAAGGTCCTATTCAATAACTTCATTGGCCTTTTTTTTTTTTTTTTGGGGTCTCCCCCCACCTCTCTTCATAGGAATCTATGCCATTTGTTTGACCCTCTTTACTAACACCTCCTCCACCCTTCTTTTTACGTGTCCAAACCACCTTGATTTTCTCCCAACTTCTTGATAGATACGCCGTTCTTGGCTTAACTACATATACGGTCATTTTGAATCTTTTTTCCCCCTCGTATGACCACACATTCACCTTAACATCCTCACCTTGACTACCCTAAGTCTTTGTTCTTGTTTTCCCCTTCAATGCCCAACACTCATCACCATATAGCATCACCAATCTTGTAGTAGCAGAATAGAACTTTTAAGCTTATTAGGTACCTTCCGATAACTTATAACTCTTAATGCCTTTCTCCAATTTAACCGCCTATCTTGTATTCTATGCGCAACATCCCTATCAATTTCACCTTCACCCTGAAGAAATTTAAGCCTTCATGTTTCTGGTAATTTTTGGCTCCCTTCTTTCCTAACTTGATCTGAATAGTGTTTGTGAATTTGTTCTGTACCCCAAAAGTGTAGGAAGAGTATTTATTTGGAGGGCACATCCTGACAAATTGATTTGGGCCTCTTTTTTCCCTTTGATTTTCTGATTTAAGACTTTATGAATCATTTATGTTGCCAAAAAGAAGATTTGACCCTTCAAACATTTTATGAAGCTATGATTAAGACTATTTAAAATTCTTAATAAAAATACTGCTGCATCGGACGTGATTATTTGGTAATAAGATTTGCTCGTAATTCTATTTGACGCTGTGAAACAATCCATTACCTGTTCATAACCATTGACAACTTTAACCAGTTTCGATGAATACACTTTATGAGGTCTTCCCTCAAAAATCTCCTCCTCTTCATCAACATAAGCAACACGAAGAGATGGATACCTGCAACAAATACATGCAAAGGGATTATTGACTGTTCATTCGTTTAGAAGATTAATCAATATCTCTTTCCTTGTAGAACCTACTTTATCATCAAGTCGATTATATCTTGAGCATGGGGATCTGCATAAGCCCTTTGTGATGCAAATGATTGACAGGAAATGACATAGGAGTATTTCATGTCTGCTACTGCTTCTAGATGAGCAAATAATGCACTGTTACTTTTTTCAGCAGTTTCATAGCCCTCAAGAATATCTGCATTAACATGATCAGCCGCATTATCAACTGGTTTTATATAATCTTCTCATTTCTGTGAAAGTGGAATCAACCGGTTGCAGAGAGACTCAGATGCTGGATCTCACTGCACCATAACCGAATACATAGAATAATGTTACAGATATCAGTTACAAACCTTCATCCTCAGCCATGTCAAGAAAAGCTTGTAATTTTAAGGCCTCTCTGTAGTACATCATGCCTCTAGCTGTTATAAGCATGATTGAATGATCACATAATGTCTCCCAACACCTGAACATTTAATAACTAAAATTGCATTATATTTACCTGTTCTACTCAGTGTCTGTCCCCGGAATGAAGCCCACTGTCTAAGTTCCTCTTTCTTTTGATCATCATTTAAACTTTCAAGATTTTCACAACGAATACGTTCCAGAAAGTTTTTCCACTCATCTAATCAAATGGGCGCACAAGATAAGAGCTTGGTACAAATACGATGTATGAAAATTAAATTCATATTTTATAGTAACCTGGATATATCTTTTGCATGTAAAAGATGATGGGGACCTCTTCCTGACTTGAATGAAGCTCCTCCAGGGAAAAATTAATATCCTCGATGCAGTGAGGCGTTATAACACTAGGAACCAAAGTTGAGATGGTTTAAGATAAAATTACTGTGCTGCAATAATATCAATCATGTATTTATTCATACATTAAATATCAATCATCCTGATATGATTCTAAAATCCGAAAGGTTGCCCATCTTAGTTTGGTGTATCTATCTCTGTCAACCAATGCCAGAAGTGCCAATTATGTATCAGAGAACGATCTATGAATAAGAATATTGTTGTAGGAAATTAGCATTTGATACTCCCTCTATTTCAATTCTTTTTTTTTTTAAAGATAGAGAATATAATTGTAGACAGTAGAATGAACGTATAGTTGAAAGAAAGGGAAAAAAATCAAGAATTGAAATTCTAAATAATAATTTTGAAACAAGACTAAAAGTTCAATATCAAAAAAGAATTAGCATGCAACTAAACATCTACAAGAGAATCCTCTTAAGTTTTTTACTTTTCAACCAGTGCATTATGCCAGAATATGAATATCAAACAAGCATCTATAGGGATGGTTAAGGTGGTTCAGGTCATAATAATCATTTCCGACAAGCCCAAACAAATTTCTACGGATAAAACTTTTTTACTTTTCATCTGTTTTTCTTTTTTCTGCTTCAGTCGCTGCAATACCTTCTTATTAGTGACGTGGGTTTAAGATTTGGTCATTCATTCCCAATTGGTGCAACCTCATCTAGTGCCTAACAAGATGCACCATATATTAATTTCAAACTCTTCTGCATATCAATAATTTAACCTTGTTTTGACAAGTTTACCATCTCTAAATGCATACTGTACAGAAACACTTTTTTACATTCATGAGACGCATTCATCAGCAATGACGTTGCCAAAAAACTAAAATATTATTGGAAGAATTGTTTCAAATATAGGGATAATAAAGAAAGGAAATATAATTTCACTAAAAAGAAAAGAAATAGAATCAATTAAAAGTTGAATTGAAGTTTTACTAGATTTTCAGTTTCTCTCTTTTCATAGATATGTAAAACTTCATTACAAAGTTCTACAACAGAAATATCACTTTGCCACAATGGAAAACCCTTTTTTTTCTTTTTTTCAAAACTAGTTTTTATTTTTAGTATCATTTGTGGTTGAAGACTAACAGAATTAATACATGCAACATGATGGCAGAATGAAGGAAGAAGTTTCAGAGATTTCAAAAAAGAAACGCAACATTCATGGACATATAATTGACCTGAATGACAGCATGTTGCGTACTTTAGGAGCATCAGGCATGTCTGCAAACAGAGAAGTAGCAAAGAATGATATACGCCTACGAGCCTCCAAGTTTGCTGGTACGTCCATTGCTGTATCTTTGACAGTAAGCAACAAATGAAAACGCTTGATCTGCCATGGACAAGTTGATCACATCATTTCAACACAAGTAGATTCCATATACCTTCTAGATACTTAATGTACCTGTGGATGCATGATACATCCACTGTTTATTCATTTATAATAAGGGGCGCACAAGTGACTATTTATACACATGCTGAAAGTTTTTCATGCTCAGAAATGCTAACTTTAGCTTCCATGAAAAATTCTTGTAACCATCTCAGAGTGAAAGGAAAATACGAAGCAAGTATTAGAAGATAACATTCTCACCTTTTCAATTAAGGGACCACTTTCTGGTAAAGGGAAATGGATAGAATTCTCATTGGCAAATAATAGTGGTTCAGCATCTAAAGAGAATGTGATGAAATCGCTCTCACTTGGTAGAGGACAATCTAGCATATCCAGTATTTTGCTGTGCAAATAGAAAAATTTAAAAACTGAACTTAGTAGTGTGAGAAAAGACATCAGTCTTTAGCGCCAATACCTGGAATCAACCATCATGTCATGGGTTACCAGCTCAAACATATCTTGCAGAGCCTTCACGGCTTTGCACTGGTGGCTTTTATCTCCCTCAATCTTAAAATGTTTTAAATCAAAAGTAGTTAGAACTTGAATTTACCATTTATTAATATGTGTCAGCATAAATTTCAAAGCCTTTTCATCAGATAAAAAATTACCAGAAGTTCAGCTAGCTCAACTATTTTTACTTGTAGAGCTGGAAGCATTTCCATCTTGAAGTTTTTAAGAAGAGTTGATGCATCAATATTTACTTCAATTTCATTTAGTATCCCGCATATGATCCTAAATATGAATAAATGACCACCAGATCAACACAAATGTCAAAGTTAGTTGGTTGAAGGCAATCTAGTAAGTAACAGCACTTTACAGCATAAAATAGTAGTTGATATCAAGGGTGTAATAACTGCATTTATTGATAACATGTTTTACCTTTTCTCCAGGTTTCCCACAACAAGAATTTCAAGGACATATTTCAATAACTCATAGCACTCCCTAACAGCATAAGACATGTACTTGTCTCTTTTAATCTTTCTAAGAAGAACCTCATCCTTTCCCTCAAAATCTTTAGCAAGGCTCAAAGCTGTAAGAAACTAGAACATGGCAAGAAGAATTTTATTATTGAATCGAAGTCAATAAATACTACAATAGAAATTCATATTGTTCAGGTTAAGCTTACATTACCTTATTTGCTAAGAGAAAAACTGGCCAGCGAATCCGAATTTTTTTAGAAAATAATTCCGAGGACATAGGCATCATCATCAAATCCATCTCTCTGTTGAAAAAAGCATTGTCAGATTTTAATTAGATATCCATGAAAGAGAGATGTTAACATCACCAACTACTAATCAAGTCGTCACCTATTACAAATCAAGTCCTCCAGACGAAGATGGCTTATAATTTGATTCCATACTGCCACAAACTTAGGAATGGCATTCTTTTCAAGGGGCACCTGCGGCACAACAAAATAGCCGATGGAAGAGGATGTAAAATTCGTGAAATATCTTATAGCAGCATGGTTAGTTTAGAACAAACCTTTTGAAACATATTGCTTAAGAAGCCTTTTCTTTTCTTTCGACCAGTTCTTGATGGTGGGATCAAACAGACATTAAATGCCGCAGGCAAGGAGTAAAATCTACTTCTCAGCATTCCAAGCGTTCTTATCTGTTTTTGATGGAAAGAGATGAGCCAACTATTGCATTTATTTGGAGAAAGAAAGAGCAAAGGAAAGGTATAGCTTACCTCACCAAGGTGATGCAAGATGCCATAAAGTCCACCAAATATGGTACAGAAAACAGAATACCAAATCTGTGTGTCCACGAAATATACCTGTAATATAAATAGACTAGATAAGCATACATAGGCCATCAAAATGCTTGTTTGGAAGAAAGAATAATTTCACTGGGAAATTTATCTAATTTATAACGACAGATGATTGCATATTTCCATTGGTACTTCAAATTATTATAACTAGGAAATTTTGAAAAGAGAGGCGGAGAGATGGGAATATAATATGCTCCTAAGTGGATAAACAAAAGGAAAACAGATAGCCAAAAAGAAATCCTTTCCAAAAACTAAGGCCAAAGACAGGACACAACCTTAAAAATACAGGCAGTCCATCCCAACCAAATAAACTAGAGAACAACATAAACTACATACCGACATTAAGTTATAGTACATAAAGCACCTATACTTGGAAAATGGAACCATATCATTTCCAGTGATTATTTAGCACTCATAACAGATACGACAAAATACTTCAAATTACATTTGAAAAATATATATATATCTTATTTAAAATCAAAGTGGTGCATGTTTTGAATATGTGATTCAGACTCACAATTATTATAGGAGTCCAGACAGCCACAATTGCGCCAGCATTACTTTTGACTGTAGCATAAGAAAAACTGTCAGAGATGATAAATCATTAATTATAAAGCAATCCAAAAACATTGACATATTCAGCATACCTTTTGGGAAAAGTTCATGCCAATCATACTTTCTAACACCAATCTTCATAATTTCTCTAGTGGGTGCTATGAGTGGTTTTATCTGCATATATTGCATCAGCCTTTAAGAGTAAGTTCAGTTGCCATGCATGTGTTTGTTTCATGTTATAAGCGAAGTCAGAATTTTGGAGAAAAGCATCAGTCAGTCATTTCATTCGTGAATTTCCTTATTCTTGAACTAGTATGCCTAATTAAGGTACCTTTCTTATAGAATGAATAACGTCAAGGCCATAAAACATAGCATAACCATTACATGTTCCTTACATGAGATTTATATTTCAAAGAACCAGCTTGGATTTATGCCTGGACAGTCTGCAACAAAGATTATTTATCTCCTAAAGGGGTTGATGGAAAAGTATTGATGTTAAAAAAAAAAAAAAAGACTTACATATGGTTTTTACTGACTAGAAAAAAACACGTTTGTATATCAAGAGAAGTACTATAAAGAGCTCCGCAAAAGAAAGGTGCTCATGCTGCTTATATTAGAGCTATATCATATATGTATGGAGACCTAGTTTTGGAAATTGTGATTGAGCACATTCAACCAAAAAAAAAAAAAAAAAAGAAGAAAAAGACTTACAAGGATTGGTCTACATAAGAGATGATCTGTTATTCTTATTTTTTAGACCTAGTTTTGGACATTCTGATTGAGCACATCCAAGAGGAAAACCCTTGGTGCATGCTCTTCACAGATGACAGTCCTAAGTGTGGAGTCAAAAGAGTTTCCACTTGAGTAAGAGCAAGACAAAATATATGCGCTAAAAATTTAGCAAGAGGAAGTCAGAAATGATTTGGTGGTAAAATTTGGAGATCATATCATACCACAAGAATCAAAGTTCAAACATTTAGGATTGATTTTACAAAAGGAGGTGAAATTGATGGAGACGCTGCGCATGGGATGAGTTAAGTGATTGAAATGGAAGAACCGAAGAAGTTACAAGAAATTATTTGTGATTGCAAAGTACCTACTAAACTCAGAAGGAAATTTTATCAAACTGCTATAAGACCAGCAAGGTTATATAGTAATTCATCAAAGAACCAGTAACTTCACCTACCAAGTTGGTATAGAAAGATTTTACCAATATGCTTTAATTCTAAGCCAATGGATTGTGAGCTAGTGAACCCTGATAGTTGTCCACATAAATAAGGATTCAATTATTCTTTTTGTTTATCCGAGGAAAACACCATAATTACCATCCAGTTAGTACTTGCCTCAAAACAGTAGCTGAACAGAAACTTAGTAGATAGCACCAATATCCAGAATAACATATACCTATATCAGAAGAAAAATAAATATATCGATTAGCATATGTTAACAAAAGAATATGTTAAATGTAGACTTTAGAAACTTAACAGGGTGTTAGGATATACTTCAACACTGAAACTTGGTTTTCTTGCATCCCTCGTCCAACATAAATTCTGGGCTGCAAGAAGTTTATATGTAACAGTCAAGTTACTGCACTTAAACCAGTGAAAGAATGTCACAGTAACATAGGCACAGGCACATATAAATTGACAGGAAAAACAATTGCACTGGTGAACCCTAATGCTGACCTATGTTGTACTGGTAAGGGACATGGGTATGGAGTATAATATATATATATAAAGAATATTTTATAATATAAGACAATTCTTACAACAATAAAACTAAATTATGAACATCCTATAGTTATAATGACCCAAAATAATAATCCAACTATCTTAATATAATCTCAAAGTTCACAGATGCTTATAAGAGTAGTACAAGCGTGTGTGCTAGTTTTATGTTTCTTATGCTTCCTTTAAGCCTAAATCGTATAACTGTTCTTAATAACACCGCATGGTAGGCAACATGGAGTACTCGTGCCTCGTACAAGTACTGCTTAAATCTAGGAACATCTATGCTTTATAGATTCTGACAAACAAGGAATGTGCAAGAAATAGAATGCAGCCCCAAATCAGGAAAAACCAAAGCATGATTTATACCAAAATAAAAGCACCTTCATTATAATATAAGACATTGATATGAAATATAAACATACTTCATAATTTTGATAGGATTGACAAAGCATCAAATTTCAAGTGTTGACTAAACTGGTCGTTGAATTAAATTTTTAAATTACATTTCAAAAAAACTTCAGAATGCAGGTCTAAGGAGACAGAACAGCAAAACAAGACAAACATATACCAATACCCTGCTTAGGCATATTCAATTTTTTCTGTTCGTCCCCAGATGCATTATGTCTTCTGCTGATTTCAACAGTAATCAGGGATATTTTGTTATTGCCTTTTTATCCCGAATGCACTCCCCTCAAAAGTGCATCATACTCATCATACTAAAAATAATTTGTAATTATCTACAAAAACCAAAGAACAATCATAATTTAAATTCGTTACTTCCAAGTGATGGAAAAATCTTTCATCTTTAGTCGTATTGATCAAATTGGCTACTTTTTTTCCTCTAAAAAGAATGGTCGTGCCAAGAAATTATAGAAGTGTACTCGCAGAGAAACAAAGCTTGCAAGTGGAAAATATTATCTCTAATGATCATTACAACCTATTTTCATGGCATAAAAGAAGTTTGTATCATAATCCAGTCAGGGAATAGATCCAACAATGTCTACTAAGTTTCATATGCTGATGGAAAGCATGCTAAACACTACGGATAAGTTACCTGTGTCCACCAAGACAAAAATCTGCATATCTGATTATTAGAGATCTCAATGTGCTTGGCAATAGCAGGGACAAAAAACAATACAATTTCAACCGCATTAGTCATCAAGTAGATGGCAGATGCAGTCATGTAAGAAGTGAAACACCATTCTTCAACCAAACTCCCATATCGTGTTGAATAGCAAGTATATTTTCCTCTGGAATTAGCATAGCACACAGGAAGAGTAATAGTCCAGATCAGTGCAAGAACCAGTTTTGCCCGAAGTTTCGTTTTTTGAGAGTGTTCCATTGTTTGTCTGGCTTTCCATGTAAAGACGATGTCCATAATTGCTGCAAAAAAGGCACAAATTTTTTTTATCTGAATTATTTGAATTCTGAAACACAAAGGAGGGAGAGCATACTAACAATCACTTATGTTTAGAAAATGAGTATGAAAACTTGTAAATAGCATATGGAATCTCAAATTAGAATGGTAATTATTCCTCTTTTGCTTCAACTTACATAAAAGGATATTTAAATTGAGATCATATTTAGCCCCCCAAAAAATTGGAAAAAAGAAATTGGTTACTCTCAAGGACCCCTCCCCTCCCTATCCTCCCCTCAAAAGTGGGGGATTTAAGAGGAGAGGCTGGGAAAAAAAAAAAAAATTGTGCTGACAAAAGTAGCCTTGTCCAAATTTTGACATTTCTTTTCTACCATATTCAAATATCACACAGCCCTCATCCCTCTCACTGCTTGCTTCAGTCGTCTCTACTTCTCATGTGTATCTTGCCTTTCTTGCCTCTCCTAGCCAGCTCGCCACCGTCACCACCCCCAACATTACATCATAAATAATTGAACAAATATTATTTTATCAATAATGGATTCAAAATAGATTTTATTAGATAACGTGAAAGTTGATAAGCCGTAGTATATGTATTTTTTCCTCAAATAAAATGAACCAAAAAATAGTTTATATCTCATAGGGGTATAATAGTCAACTTATAATCAGCTCTTCTCTCTCCTCTCCTGAACTAAACAAGGAATCAGTAAAATCCCTCCTCTCCCCTCCCCTTCCGTCTACTGATCCAAACACAATGTAAAGGATTGATGGATTACTAAAAGTAGGAGGATAATAGGATTATAATAGTAAAACACAACACGCGCGCGCGCACACGCAGAGATATAATGTAAAACAAACAAATTTCAATTCTTTTGATAAGGATTAATAAAAAAACTCTCAAGAGAATTAGACTAAGTTCAGTATATCCCTGATGCTGTTTATTAAATTAAATTAGCTATAACACATAGCAATGGCTATAATGAGAAACATACCTTGAATGAGCTTAAGAAAAGCAGATGTGATAAAGATGCTGATCACATCCTCAAATACTGTAGCATCAAACAACTGAAGCGGAGATCCCAAGTCGTGACAAGCCACTATTATTATAGCCTAGGAAATGACAGAATAAACATGTATTAAGTCAATGATATTCATCATAAAGAACAGAAAATTGCAAAGCATCTGCACTAGAATTAGAGCATGCCTGAAGGGAGAGAATAAAAAAACTCCACATTCTGTCAAAGCTTCTAAAAATCTGCCAAAACGAACGAATCTCTACAAAATTTGTCTTCCCCAGCCATTGTGGTTCATGACATTCATCTGATATGTCCTGCAAAAGGAGGGTATAGAAATATTCTTTTAGTTTAAAGAATGCTTAATAAAGCCTGAAGTCTCCTAAAACACATGCTTCAAAAGAAAACAAAAAAAAAATGCTAATGCATCACATTTATTTATTTAAAAATTTGCATGACGCTCCTAAATTAGTAATTTGTAAGTGAAATTGTTATGACTCAGTGACAAATGAGATGACATCACGCCAAGGTCTAACTTGCAATTTAGTAGGACATGCCCAACATCATATCTATAGTTTTAGATTCTAATCATTATAGTGTCACATAGTGAAGTTTACTTGATAAAATGCATGTCGTGTCAGGAAAGAAATTAAAGGTTTTAATACACCATTTGGTAAGGCGTCTTCAACACGCAAGGAACTCAGGCTTCAAACTATAATGCTTTAAGACGTGGAGACTCCAATAGGATGTATACAGACTTCAATATATTCATCACCTTATGCAAAGCAAACTTAAGCAGAGGATGCCAATCCATAGCTTTAGGTGAAATGAGAGATCTGACTAGGAAAGAGAGAAAAGCTATGCCATATCAACGAATGCCATCAGTTAAAAGTCATTATGCAATTTCAATTTGTTTTAATATCGCTGAGACAATGTCTGAAATTAATTGCCCATGATAAAAAGAAAGAAGAGCTATGCTATATCAATGAGTACAATAAGTTGAAAGTCACTATGCCATTTCAATGATTTAATTTCAATTTGTTTCAATATCACCAAGGCAATGTTTAAAGTAAATTGCGTGTGATAATATTATAGGCAGAATCACCTCTGATTCTTCACCCTTATTGTCTGTCTTCTTCCTTTCTTTTATTTTATCCGGTGATGCAATAGCATTCTTGACGCTGGATTTTTTTGGTGGCCGTACACAGAAGAAAGCATGGTCCAGACGCATAGGCCAACCAATACTGAAACAGTCAGGAGACCTGTCAATATAAAACAGCTGTAAGACCACAGGGATATGAAAAAATTGCTTCTGCATATAAATGCAAAAGGGGAAAACATAGAGTTTCGGGATGAAATGACCAGAAATACTCATTCAAATCATCATAGTTTCTCCACAAAGAATGGTCAGCTGTCCCTCCCTTGCTTTTTGCAGCTTCCTTTGGTTTGAAAGCGAGTTAATTATATTGAAGAAAAAAGCTCAAATAGTTTTCTGAATAAAAGGGATGAAATGAGCTTGTACCTCTTTAATAAGATGGTATATGGGGGTGACAACATTCTTAAGGAAAGATTCAGGTTCTCCTCCATATGCAGGCATGACCTTTTCCCATGTTGTCAAGTTAATAGCACCACTCAAAATACCATGCAATTCATATGCCATCTTTGAAGAAAGAAGAGGGAGGATATTAAGATAGAGAAGATTCAGATAGAATAGATCTTCAACGAGTTCAATCCATGTGGACAATTCAGAAATTTATAGGTGGTGAAATGCTACAAATTACAAAATCTAGCCCTCAAAAGAAACAAACAAAAGCTAATCAAATAATCTAACAGAGGTTGGTAGTTTTGACATACCTGGTGAAAGATATAGCAGAGACATTCCGGCATGAATCGCAGGTTTGCAGCCTCCCCCCAAATGAGAAGGTAAAGCCCTATATACAAAATTTTATACTGTTGGGCTTCTTGTTTCACATAAGGCAAGCTGCAAGGCAAGTAACAGACTTGCTATGGGATCGAAAGGAATGTTAAAAGAATAAGAGTTCAAACAAAACTAACAAGGGAGTAATGTAGTGGAAGAAACACAGAGGAATACCACTCTTCCTTGTTAACAAGAAGAGATACCCCCAGCCGCCAAACCAAGAAAAGAAGGAAACGAAAAGAAAAAAAATCTATGATATGAAAGCAACACGACATAAATTAACATACCGAATGTTGCTTTTTCGCCCCAAAAATTTGCACCAGTTTGTATAGTTTTTGAAAAACTTTCTCATCAATTCATCTACACATCCTTCACCTAACTGATACGAGAAAAGTGACTTGTTACTGAGTCAAATTTGTTGAAGTAAAGCAAGAAGATGCAGACACTATCACCAATGCACCTTCAAAATTGACGTCTGCTTTTGTGCTTGCCGGGTTTGCATGTTGGCCAAGAGTAGAATCAGATGTTCCCTTTGGTTGGCCACATTCGCAATCTAATGGTAGACGCAATATAATCAAAAATCCAGACCAACTACTTTGAGCAATCTTGCCTACACACTAGTATATTATTTCCATTTGGACACGCAATTACAACATTTAATGAGTTATCAGCTCAAACTTATAATTGAGCATCAAGAAGGAAGACTCGGAATCTAAAGTTAACTAGAATAACTAACCTGGAATCCAAAGCAATGCTGAAGAAAATCAAACAAATCTACAAAGGGTGAATTCTTCTTAAAATCTTGAGGTGAGGGTAAGCCACGAGTATTACGAGTAGCTGAAATTGCAGCCTTAATCTGTACCAATTTATAAAACACAGTCCATTATTTTATAAACAATCCCAATGGGGTGAAATGTGGACAATATACAGAAAGGAAGAAGAAGAGAGAACAAGAAAGGAAATGTGGGATCATGCATGAGTCATCAGACCTCAGGCTGCTGCATAATTGCAAGCCGAATGCCTCCTTGCTCAAGGGGTAGAATATTGAACTCAGATTTTTTGTGCAGTTCATTTCCTTCAATAAGCGCCTAATTTGAGCAAAAGGAGAAACGCTAAGAGAAAAACATAGGAACATGCTCATGTCAAGGAGATATACACAAAAGAAAGGAAAGAAAAAATAAAAATAAAAACCTGAGGACCAGCTGCATTTATAACTGTTTTTAACACCTCAAACAGAACAGAAGCTATATCACGTGCATTTATCAATTTTTCTCTGTGACTGTTAAGGGAAAACATCACAACATTTAGCTTAGTAAGCTACATAAGAGTTTAAAATTTCTTAGTTAAAAAGGAAAATGATGCATTAATGATTATAAGCTTAGTTACCTACCTGTGATCTAGATCAAAAGTTTTATCGTGTTTGATAAAATAATCTCTGTATGCATGATAAACACGTTTAAGTTCACGACTATCACTCTTCTCCTTCCTTCTTCTGGTAGCTTCCTCATCCTGCGTCACATTTCACAGATGAAGGTAATATTTTTTTTTCATATAATACTTCATTTTCCTTGTGTACATTGATAATTCCAAACTGCGGAACAATTAAAGAAACAGCTTTTTTAAAATTATGTTTATTGTATACCCATTCCATTTCGATTATAATAGTATTACGTAAGGGAGACAGTGTACTTAAATTAGACTCTGTCCTCGACAAAAAAAGCTCCAAACATTCTCATTTACCTGTTCGAGTCGCTGAAGAAGTGCAGTTTTGAATTGTCTGACTCCCCTTCCAGTAGAATTTTTGTCCTTTTTGTGTGCAATTACAAAGGCATGAAAACGGCCTGGAAATTGGAATCACTAGCACGTTGTAAAACGCACCATTTATTGATTCTAGTCAACCACGAATATAATTTAAGCAAAGTTGAAACTACGTTTGACTCCACTGTAACACAGGTCGTTTTAAATTTTGCGAAAGTATCCATCCTTGTCAACGTCATAAAATCAATCGTCCAACCCTTTCGATTCAAGCGTCACTATCTCAGCTGAAACGAATAGCAACCAACTAAATTCCTGTGTCCTGCTTGTCAGAAAAAACAAAACTTTTCTTTTTTCCATAGTGAAAACAGAACTCTGTTACTATTAATTATATTCGCCTTTTCCTTTTTTCTTTCTAATTATATCCTGATCGTATATTTTCACAATCATAGTGTTGGATTGAATTTAAGACTTTAAGGTAAGTTGGTAAAACTGAACTTTCTTTTCATATTTGCTAGAAAAGTAACAGAAATTAACGGATACTCAGCAATTTTTTCTTCAGACACAATCAAGTTACAACTTCACAACATGACCCAAAATTAGCAGGACACACACAAACACATATTACTTACAAAGATAGGCAACGCGAGGTTCCTCCCTCTCAATCAAATTGGCAACACGAAGAAACCTTTGAATTTCAGAAGCAAAAACAGTCGGCAACCTTTCACTGTCGAAGGGCTCAGGAACATCATTATTATGACTGGGAGCATCGGTGATTGCCAACGTGACATCGGGCCTTGAGGACGACGTCTCGCCTACTTCATAATAGGTTCTACCACAAAAGGGCCTATCATAAAAATGGGCTTCACCATCCTCGATTGGTTCAGCAGGAACAATCTCTGACATAGCTGCGAGCTCAAAAATCTAGGGGACGACGACGACGACGTCGACCAGCAAGAAGAAGGCGACACGAGGGCAGAGTATATGTGTGGGATCTTCTTCCCCATTTCTTTTTCTACTAATGCTGTTGCTTAATGAGGTCTGCTTTGGTGTGCTTTCTCACAGTGCAACTTTTTTTGCGTCTGATTGGAAAGCTAGACAAATCAATGTGGTCTTTTGCTTTTGCTTTATTGAATCTGGTTTTCATTTTAGCTTTCTTTCCCAATAGAGAGAGAGAGAGTGGGAGACGACTCTCTCCTACTCTCTCTATCTCTCTCTTCTCTTCTGTGAATGTTTCCGTAATGCAAGTGTTAGTGTGAACACGGTAAAGCAGAAAGAAAGAGAGTGAGGCTCTGCTTTTGAAAGAGCAAATGGCGGTCTTTTTAGTGATTAAAAAAAATTGTGTTTACGTGAGAGAGAAATCATTCTTTAATCAAACCTAATTCTTTTGATCTCGCAATAATTGATCCCTTTGTCTTTGCTTTCACCATCTTTATTGCTTTTCCACCTTCTTTTTCTTCTTTCTTCTTCATGATGAACTTGGGGTTCCAGAATTGTTTTTGCTGGAAGAAGCAAAATTTAAGTGAGGATTTTCTTATGCATACCTGTGAAAGAAGGAAAAAAAAAAAATTGACATGATTATTGAATGAATTGGGGTTAAACCACCATATCAGTTTCCAAGATGAATTTTTTGAGTGTGAATTGCACAGTAAAATTGGAGTTTCCTTGAATATACGTTGTCTTCGGATTCTCAAACAAATTTCTTGCACAGCTAATTTTCTAATTAGGAACTTTTAACTAATTTTCTCGATACTTTCTTATGTGAACCTTTATTCTTTGATCATGGGTTATTTGTTGCTGGGGACGCCCCCTTTAAGACGAGTTATTTATTAATAACTATAAAAATAATTATCGTGTTGTATCAACACACATCTGTCCTCGTAAAAGGAATTTTGACTGCCCAAACAAATAGTTGAGGTCAAATCTATATGAATATAAAAAAAATGTCTTTGGAAACTATTCTCAATTGGGTCTAATAATACTTAAATCTGGTCTAGTTATCATATAAAAAATTAATTATTGTGTGATATTTGGTTATGGTAGTTTTTTGTGATTGCTGAGTTCTCCAACAAACACTCATATAATTTCATTGTAATAAATGTTCTTTTTCTGAGGAAAAAATCCTAAAAAAATTATTGTTGAATTTCAAAATTCTAAATCAATATTGATTATTATACTCATAAAGAAAATGACTACGTTTGAAAAGCAAATAACAACACATTGTTATAGTAATTCTTGATTTAAAATTTTAAAATTCAATAGTTATTTTTTTAAAAGATTTTCCTAACAAGAAAAGCTGTTTATAAACGTGCCATCAATAGAATAAATGGAATTACTTTGATGATGGTATCTTTTAAGTTTTATTCCCTTACAAAGTCATGCTTCTTGGAATATGCAAACAAGAATAATTATTCTTTGAATCAGCATTAATTATTAAAAAGGTGGATGTGGGGTTCCACTTATGAATTAAAATTACACAATTGGACATTACATCGTACGCAACTCCTCCACTTATCATATTATTACCCCCAACACTTAATATAAGATACAGGTGACTAATTTAAATAGATTAAAAAAATTAGTTAAATTAGTTATTTATAATAAATAGGTTTTGTATTTTTTAAAATATCCCTACCAATCAAGTGTATTAGTAAGAACTATCTTTATTACAACGACTATTTAGAAAAAACATATATAAACATAAAGACAAAGTGGATCAGGATCTTATATTTAGAATCAAAATAAAAATTAAACAAACTCTTATATTAAAAATAAGAGGTAATAATCGATTATTTATACTACACCTATCTTTAGCAAGAATTTATAAAAGAGGAAGGGCCAGAGATACCTCAATTGATCTTGATAACCACAACCCTCTTTTTTCTTTTACATTTTTTGTTGACTCAATTAAGTGACGCTGTTGGCTTTGTTAGTTTAAGGATGTTATCTTTTAATTATCTTTTCTAGGTGCATTGATCTTAATTTGCCTTAAAAAACTTATGCTCCTCCTGTCCTTAACTTACAACATAATTTAAGAGTTGATATTAGTCCTATATGTAATATCCTATTCACGTGTTTACTTTTTTTTCCAAACTGATCCTATTGAAATTTTTTCCCACATTTATTAAGTGGAAGAGGAAGGAAATTAAAAAAAATAATTAAGATATTTTAAAAAATATATCATATTAATTAATTTAATTAATATTTTTAATATGCTCAAATTAGTTAATTAGGTTTCATATTAAAAATTAAATAAGTATATCAACACGCGCTTGCTCATCACGCACGCGCACATAATGGCCCCGTTTGGCAGAGATTTTAAAATTCTCTATAAGTTAATTTCATGTAAGTCAAGACAAAACTCCTCTCACATATTTGTTTCGTATTCCGTAAATCACTATTGAAAAGTAGTTTATAAACTGTTCCAAACGGGTCCGTAGTCTTGTAGCTTCTAATAACTTGATTACCTTGTTATAGCTTAGCGGCATGTATCCTATGTTGGTGGTGAAATATTGTGCGTTCGATCATGTGGATGCCTTAAACGGTTGCTTCTTGTTGCGCTTCTTCGTATATGCGTGGGTCAAAAGACAAGTTCCATGTTGCTTGAGATTGAAGCAGTCACAGTGTCCATAATTTTTGTCGTCTTTCGGTGGAAGGAACTGGTGTATCGATCACATTTAGGGTGTGTTTGGTATGAGGGATTTGGAAGGGAGGGGAGGGGAGGGGAGGGATTTTAATCATTTTTCCTTGTTTGGCAACACACAAATTTTAGGAGGGGAGGGAAAATTTTTTAAAATTTCCCCTCCCCTCCCCTCCTCAACCTCCCCTCCAAAATTGGGAGGATTTGGAAGGAAAATGCAATATTTTGTCATATTATGACCATTATGTTCATATTTTGTCATGTTGTGACCATTATGTTTATATTTTGTCATGTTGTGACTATTATGCCCATGCCTTAAATAAAATAAGAGCAAAATTGTCCATATTAAAATATTTTTCCCTCCCCTCCCCTCTTTTTTTATAAATCCAAACAAGGTGATATTAAAATCCTTCCACTCCCCTCCCCTCCCCTTCCCTCCATTAAAATCCCTCCCCTCCCCTTCCTCTCATTGAGCCAAACATACCCTTAGGGTGTGTTTAGTTGGAGGGGAGGGGAGGGAAAATGAGCCCCTCTCCTCATTTGGTTAAAAATTTTGAAGGGGAGGGGAGCTAAAATGTCCCCTCCCCTCCCCTCCCCTTCCCCATTTTGGCTCCCCTCCAAATTGGGGGTTTTTGGAGGGGAGCCAAAATTTTGGACCATTATGCCCTTATGGTTTTTTTAATATTCCACTCCTACCCATAAAATATATTATTATAATATTTATTTCAAATAAAAAATATATTATCCTAAGTAAAAAATAAAAAATATATACATTATTATAATTAAAAATATATTATAAAAATTATTTAAAAATAAAAAATTATTTAAATAAAAAATTATAATATATAAAATTAATTGTTTTTTATAAATATATTATTTATTAAATATATTTTAAAGTTGGAAAAAAAGATAGCCTAAAGAAAATAAAATTTCATTTTTCTTAGAGCATATAAAATTTGTTAATTTGATTATTTTAAATATATTATTATATTAATTAGAATAAAAAATTACTATACCAATTTTTTAATACACATATTAACATGATAAGACTGAATTTTTATTAAATTATATAATTTAAATTAAGATATAAATTAATTTATATAATATATCAATAAAAAACATAAACTAATATGTAAGGATAAAATGGTAAATTGATTATTACTATCCCTCCCCTCCCCTCCTTGAACCAAACAAGGGATCATTAAATACCCTCCCCTCCCCTCCTTTTTAATCAAACCAAACAAGGTGAGGATAAAACCTCCCCTCCCCTCCCCTACCCCTCCCTCCCCTCCCCTCAAACCAAACAGACCCTTAAGGTGTGTTTGGTTGGAGGGGAGGGGAGGGGAGCCCCTCCCCTCATTTGGTTAAAAAGTTTGGAGGGGAGGGGAGCTAAAATGTCCCCTCCACTCCAAATTGGGGGTTTTTGGAAGGGAGCCAAAATTTTGGACCATTATGCTCTTATGGCTTTTTTAATATTTCACTTCTACCCATAAAATATATTATTATAATATTTATTTCAAATAAAAAATATATTATCCTAAGTAAAAAATAAAAAATATATACATTATTATAATTAAAAATATATTATAAAAAATATTTAAATAAAAAATTATAATATTATAAAATTAATTTTTTTTATAAGTATATTATTTATTAAATATATTTTAAAGCTGGAAAAAAAGATAGCCTAAAGAAAATAAAATTTCATTTTTCTTATAGCATATAAAATTTGTTAATTTGATTATTTTAAATATATTATTATATTAATTAGAATAAAAAATTACTATACCAATTTTTTAATACACATTAACATGATAAGACTGAATTTTTATTAAATTATATAATTTAAATTAAGATGTAAATTAATTTATATAATATATCAATAAAAAACATAAACTAATATGTAAGGGTAAAATGGTAAATTGATTATTACTATCCCTCCCCTCCCCTCTTTGAACCAAACAAGGGATCATTAAATGCCCTCCCCTCCCCTCCTTTTTAATCAAACCAAACAAGGTGAGGATGAAACCTCCCCCCTCCCCTCCCCTCAAACCAAACAGGATTCACATTTATAAAAGGTCAAACCGTCAAACGCTTAATTTCATATTTAAGTAAAACTGAGCGGGATACAACTTCTTATTTTTAATATAAAAATTAGTTTGACTTTTATTTTGATTTTAAATATAAAATCTCAATCCACTTTATCTCTTATATTTATCTATTTTTTTCCAAAATAGTTCTTCTAATAATGGTTGTTCTAACTAATACACTTAATTCACAAGGATATTTTAAAAAAGACAACACTTATTTATTACAAATAACTAATTTAACTAATTTTCTTAATCTACTCAAATTAGTCATCTAACTCTTATATTAAAGATCGAGGTAGTACTACCTCCTTACCTTAATATAAAAGTTCGTTTGACTTTTATATTGATATTAAATATAAAATCTCAAT